CTCTCTCTCTCTCTCTCTCTCTCCCTGTGTGTATAGTGAGTAGAAATCTTTCATGAAACTTTTAAGAGTTAAATGAAAGCAGTGAATATTATCTTCCACTAAACTGGAGTCAGAAAATTTGACTCATGTTGACAGAGGAGAGGAATTCAACTCGATTTTGAGGGCTCTACAATGAAACAAATGTGCCTCTGTGTCCTCCTGGTGGTTGTGTTGAACTGCTAGGTGCAAGGTCAGTACTTTGAAGGACCAGCTGTTCTACTGGAGAAAGAGGAGGCTGACTTCTCCTTTTGAGTTTATAGCCTCAGAAACCTGATAGAAAGCTGTTATGAGTTGGAATCAACTTGAAGGCAGTGGCAACACTGAAACTAGCTTCCTGAATTTCCTCTCATAACTACATCTGCTTCCTGATATTCCACAGCCCTGGATGTACCTATAATATGAGGAGGGGAGACATTTTTTTGTGACATTGAACAAACCTCTCTGATGCTTCTTATAATTTAAAGAAACGCAAGCTCAAATTCTATGTCCCCATTCCAAACCTTGGCAACTCTGCTGTGCTTTTTTATTAGAAAGGAACATATATTCTTCAGCGTTTGCATGTGTAGTCTTATTAACTCAGAGCTCTAGATGGCTCTTTGATCTAAAGGTAAGTTTCAGAAAGATGTATTCTAGTTAACTGGGAAGAACAAGAGTAAATAAAATATCAAGGTCTGACCATTCAAAAACATCCTGCCTTGAAAGACTCAGATGATGAATGGGCAAGTTCGTTTTCCCTAGTGCATTTTTCAATTCCATTTTACAGTAAATACTTGTGGGATTTTAAACTCAATGAAGATATTTCCATAATCTCAGTAGTTCTGGTTCACATATAGCTCAATGGGAGGAATCAATCATTGGTCTGAGGCAGAAAGTGGGATTGTGAGGCAGAGATGAGAGCAGTACTGGAGCATCAAGTGTTAGAAAGAAGCCTACAGACACAAGAGCCAAAGACTTCAGTTCCCATAACAAGACAAAGCTGGCTCTTGGGAATGCATACTCATGATCTACTTGCATAGAACAAACAAGGCTTCTTTGATAAATTCTTGGTTAACTCAGACAGTGAGCACAGAGAAGAAAAACAATGGGGCAATGAAAAACAGGGAAAGCCAAACCCACGAGCCCTCTTAGAATTGGAAATTGATGCAGATATTGCAAGAATGTTCAGCATTTAACACTTTTGCTCTTCTTTCATTTTAGATGCTGCACAACAAGCACGTTATGGTCCGTGTTGGAGGAGGATGGGAAACGTTTGCAGGGTATTTGTTGAAACATGACCCCTGCCGAATGCTACAGATCTCCCGCGTGGATGGGAAAACATCTCCCATCCAGAGCAAATCTCCAACCCTAAAGGACATGAATCCAGATAATTACCTGGTGGTCTCTGCCAATTGCAAGGCTAAGAAAGAGATTAAATGAAAGTAGTCGGTTATTACAAGGGGACTCTCATAATGGCCTGTATCCACTTTTCCAGTAGTCAGTTTAGTTCTTATGCTCTGAAAAAGATTTTGGAAAAAAAAAAGGAGTTAACATGAACAGTGTCATGTTGAAAGATGTTCAAAGAGTAGCACTATTTATTTTTAATGCTTCTGTAGAAAATGATCTGTTAAAAGACATTCTCAACTCAGATTTCAATTAGACAAATTATAGCCAAATCACTCTTGACACGTTGAACACAATGTTTAGAACCCACACCATAATAGGGACACAACTGTAGCTAAAGGTGAACAATGCTATTAGAATGAAAAATTTAGGATGTACAGAGACGCCAACAGGAAGTGCCTGCTTTAATGTCTGCAAAGCAAAAGCACCCCAGACTTTTTTATTTTAATTGCAGATTTTTAAGTCAGTTTTAAGAAATGATAATTAATGTAGTCGTGTGCTACTAAAAAGACCCAACAGCATGAGAAATACAGAGTATTCACAACAATAATCCTGAGTGGAAAGGTCACTTCAGCAAAGTTTACATTCACTTAGAAGATTGCCTTAAAGTTTCTCTCTGACCAAATATCTGGGGTACTTTGGGAAGTTTTTGGTGCACCACCTTAGATAATTACTTGTGATTTCTGTCACACATTCCTAAGCATGTGACTGTGTTTAGACTGATTTAGTTTAATTCACACATATAAGCTGACCTACATTTATATTTTGGCAGAATACATTGTACAGTCAAATAAAATGTTCAGTGACTTCATGTTGCTTTAAAACATTTTCTTAATAAAGTATATCTTTAGTTAATCCAACTTTGCTATGCTATCTAGGAAAGAAAGTTCACTGTAGCTAATTATGTTACAGACTGATATATACCCTTGTATACTTGGGACATGGCTGGTTTTGTGCCAGTGAAACAGCAGAATATTGTCCTCCCTGATTTAAGAATTAAAGAGATAAACTTTACATTTTTATTTGTCTTTGTATCAGTGACTTCATTGATAACAAGGTGGTGTCAAACAATTATTTTTTATTGTTGTAATTTGGGTGAGTTTAAGGAGTAAATTCGTTTTCCATTCAACAGTTTATACACATTTTGTTATGTGACATTAGCCTCGATGCCATTCCATTTTTCCCACTTCTTTCTTGGGTCCCCAGACTCCATTTGCCCTTTTCTACCCCTTGAGCGATGTCTGGTGGCCTAGTGGGTAAGCGGTTGTGCTGCTTATCCAAAGGCAGGTGGTTAAAATCCACCATCTGCTCCACAGGAGAAAGATGGGCAATCTCTTCTCATACACACCCTCCTTACCCAGATGGTATGCTAGAGTTGGCTAATGTCTTCTTATTGTCAGCTAGATAAACAACCTAAGGAACGATAATAGAAGGGCTCTAATCCAAATGAATACATGATCAAAAATTTAAGTTCCATCCAGAAAGATGGTTGGGAAGATACAGAAAACATCTAAAACAGAAGATGACATAAGGAAATGGTAAAAGAGCACCGAAATCACACAGTGAATAGATTAGGATCATTCTGGAGCTGTCCAGGCACCACTGCAATAATCTCAAGCCATTTCTTCCTGGGTGGGTGAGAATACATCCTATGTAGCCCCTACAGTGTATCCAGCAAAAACTTGTACCAGTTATCACCCAGACAATTTCCCAGAAAAGTGGGAGTCCTTTGGATTCTGCCTACCACACGTGCAGAAGCAGAACTGGTTAAACCGACAAACGTGTTTTGTTCCCCCAACCTTTTTTTGCATTTAAATTAATGAAATAGAATTCTGTTTCAGGGGGGAGGGTGTGAGGGGAATGGTTAGAGGCACATTGAGGCTAATCAGGTGTGGTTTTGTTAGGAATTTTTCACAATTGTTTTTTTTCCAAGCCTTAGGTTTGGGTTCTTCTTCTCTCTCATGTTACAACATTCCAGACTCCCTGGTTTCTCCATGGTCCCTCCCTTCTCTTTTTCTTGTATCATGATCACACTTCTTTCTCTATTTCTGCATGTAATTGGCACCTACTCTGATGTAAACATATTGAGGAATCACATGCCAATTGTATGCTCTAATTAGAAAGACACACAATCTACCAATAATTTGCATTTTTCAAAAGAATAAAGATATACACTGCCAGAAATGAAAACACATTATAATGCTACAGAAATTAAAATGCAGCCCCGAGACAGAAAACTGATCAGTGGAAGATCACTGAGTGATTATAAAATATAATGGAATAACTTTATGATAGCACTAATGCAAGTTAGTTAATAATTATATGTAATAATGCTTATTAATAGAGGATGTCTGCAAAACTTGCTTATTTTTAATTGAAAAAGAAAACTGCCACTCCCTATCTCAGGCACAAAATTAACTCTGGATGAATTAGAGTAAGCATGAAAAGCAAAATGGAAAGGCTTAAGAGAAAATGTAACAGGTTGTTTCTGTGACTACCAAAACACAAATCATAAGGGGGGAAATGGCTAAATGAATGTACCACAACATTCCAGATTAGTTGTTTAAGTGGATTAAATGCAGTGCTTTGGGGTCACATAGGAAATGTGTTTCGTTTTTTAAGAAGCTTTTAAATGGTTGTCCACATTGTCTATACCATTTTTTCTGGCTGTGTATGAATTTTCCAATAATTCCACATCCTTGTCAATAACTGATATTGTCAGTTCTTTTAACTAACAGCCATTGAGATTGGAGATTGTGAAAAATGAGCTAGTATCTGTGATTTTTATTTCAATTATCCTTATGATTAATGATACTGACTGCTTCGTATTCTAATCTGATTGTTTTAGTTTTGTTGGCAAACTATTTATTCACCACTTCAGCCCAGTTTTTAAATTATTTGTCTGCTTATATCACTTATGAGAATAGGAAGATTTCTGAGAAATGATCTACAGTTTGCGCACAAAACGAATTTGTTCCATGTGAGGTAAGATTGAAGTGTGCGTTCATGACGACTCAGACCTATTTCAATGTCTGCTGTTGTTATGTGTCATCAGGTTCGATTACGATTCATAGGGAACCTATAAACAGCCCTGAATTTGCCCTCTCCTGCATGATCCTCACATTCTGCAACGTGCTCGAGGCTAATATGGTAGTGACTGTGCCAACCCATCCGTCTTGACGGTCTTCTCTTTCTCTGACCCTCCATATTTCCCAGCATGCTGTCTTTTCCCAAGGACTGGCCTCTCCTGAAAGCATGACCAAAGTATATCAGACAGCATTCCAGTAACTATAGGACACTGACAACTCAACACAAAAGCCAACAAAGGTTTTGTACATTTTCAGTTCTTAGGAAATGATGCTCAGAATCAGTATTTGGAAGGTGAAGCATGACTACAAGAGGGAGGGGAGAACAATACAAGGCTGTGTCCTGTGGCAAACACAAAGCATTAGAGTTGAGATATAGCTAATTTACATCAAACCCATACCAAACATTTGCTGTACATACAGATGACTGGTGTCCATGCCTTTTGAAAAAAAAAAAATTGAACAGAATCACTTATAATGTGTACAGTTGCCAAGTGGATGTTGCCTAGAGAAGATTTTTTTCTTTTTTTTGAGAGGCACACCATCTGGCTTCTTTTAAAAAAAAATTGTGATTTGAGTGAAAGTTTACAAAGCATATTGTTTTTACACACATCTCAAATCTCAACACAGGCAGGCACACCTGCTTATTGTTTACTGATCGATTTTATACAAGCCATCATTGTTATTCTTATGTGCTGTCCAGTCGCTTGCAATTCATAGCGACCCTATGTACAACAGTCCTAAACCCTGCTCTGTCCTGGTCCAATCTCACTGTCTCCGACACACCCACCCCAATTACCCCAGTCCCTGAATCAATCCACCTCATAGAGGGCCTTCCCCTCCTGCGCTGTCCCTCTAATCCTCCCAAGCATGAAGTCCCTCTCCAAGGACTGGTCCCTCATTACAACATGTCCAAAGTATGTCAGATGAAGCCTCAGAATCCTTGCCTCCGAGGAGTATTAGTAAAGCATGAAACTTCCAGGAATTATTTTCCCTACAAAAGGTGTAGCATAAATTCATAAAATAAATAAACCAAACTGTTGGAAGAGAAAAGCAATATCCAAAGCTGTGTGAGTTGACAGAATCTGCTACTAAAAGTTGTAGATGATTTTGTGTATAAAGAGATAACCAAAGCCAATGATTATATGGGGGGTGGGGTAATGTATATTTTTACTCCCAAAAGGTAATATGAGTTTATTATAAAATCATGGAGGGAAAAGTTTATTTAGTTATATATCAAAAATGATGGATGAAATAACAGTATCACATACAGGTGTTTAAAACATGCCATTGGTCAACAAAAAGGTTACATAGTAAAACACTTTTTATTATTAACCATATTAATAGTTGAGTGATTATAATTAGAAAACAAGTAAGCACTTTACATCTTAATTGATAAGCATATATTCACTTTAATGCTTCAGGCATTATTACTACGTAATTTCAGTTAGATTTGGAGTTAACATATAAAATATAATAGTTTTCTGCTTAAATTATGAGTTGACTCCAGGTAAGTGCTTTCCTCAGAGATAAGTACTTGATGAGGGAGACCTAGGTATACACATTTCCTTCCTATCTGGTATTATATGTCCATTTACTTTCCCCCTTTCTTAACCGTGTTAACAAATATTTGGGTGTCTGCTTCTTAGCTTATGCATACCTATTTGAGTATGGAAAAGTTGATCAAACTCAAAGAAGCAGGCCATGCTTGGCTGGAGCATTGTATCTCCCTGTGCTCCGAGAGCTTATCACTCATAGTGGAGAACTGTGCTTGGGATACTGCTGTCAAAAGCAGGGCCCTCAGATGTAAACCTTTAGTATTGTTCTCCTAGTAAATCAGAAACTGGTAACAGAATTTCTCCTTTATATTATAGGATGAGGAACATGCCTAACTATACATTGAAGGCTTGTCTGAACATACAGTCTGTAGCTCTATCCTCATTTATGCAA